CCAGCTTCCCTGACTAACCTCTGATGTTTACAAGGCTTATAAACGTGTGGGGGTGGAGGAAGGACTTGAACTGACCCCTTGGGCTGTGCTGTGATTCAGAGTCCTAAAGCTTTAGGAGTTTAGCAAGAGCAGTTCCTTGCTTCTAGTGAGGGAGAGAAGGTGGTAAATTCTAGGCCAGCCCCCCCATATTCCCCTGGCCATCCTAGAGATCCTGCCACCAATGCCCCTTCCTCCATGTGGGGCAGCCCTAGAGTTCCACTCATATTCCAGGCTCATTGCTCACTGCAATCCATTCTGTGAGACTGGAATCACCTGTCACATGCATCAGCAGACCCAGAGGGGAAACTGGGATCTAAGACTAAAAGAAACACATTATCAAGCACCTACTATGTGCTAGGCTGAGCCGGATTCTGGGCAGCAGACATGAAGCCAATCACCTCAGCCTTCTCACCTTCCCCTCCTTCCCAGGTACCAGGAGGAGTCCTCAAAGGCACACAGAAGTCATACTGTCTGTCCCAGGGTGAGCAAGAGTTAGGTCCTGAACCCATAGCTGACTCCCCTGTTCCTCCAGAGGCCTGATTTGGGAAGGAGGGTGCAATCCTGCTGGGCACTGTCAGCAAGAAACCCTTCAGACATATTTATAGCAAATGCTGCATCAGGGTATGGAATCTGAAAGTGCCTCGAAGCATCAAATAACACCATGAGTCCAGAGGCAGAGTCCAGAAAAAGAAGGCACTGCAGCAGGAGGGATTGAGGTTTGATGTTAGAGGAACTTCCCCCAGATGTTACATCTGGAACTGGCAATGGGGATTCCCTGTGGAAGCTACTTCCACAGGATTTTCTCAGAAGAGAAGGGGTAGGTACCTTTTTCTGGTCTAGGTAGAAAAGATAAAAAGGAATGGACATGGTGATCGCTATCTTTGTAGTATACAGACTTTCAAATACCAAGGCCACTAAGCACAGTTGTGCAGATTATGCCTTGCTGAGGAGGCAAATGGAGACTCAAATCCAGTTCTAGATCAGTTACCTCCTGCTGCAGAGCTGTGTCTGTACAGACTAGCCAGAGTGGCTTGCAGGGGCTCTGCCAGATATCCCAAGTCCTGACAATCTGGGGGTCTGAGGACAAGGTCAGCAGGGAGAAGGGATGAAGGCTGCCTGGGAAGCCCTGGGGGCCTGTTTGCTAGAGCTCAGGGCCTATATGGGCCAAGCTAGAAGGCATAGCTCCCTGGAATGGATCCAGGGTAGAGGCCCCTCTCAGCAGGGTGCCCTGCCCAGACACTATGAGGTCTGAGCCAGAGATGGGGGCCCTGAGGGAGTTTGAGTGGGGAGGAAGAGGATATGTGTCTTGGGCAGGCCCTGGAGAAGGATAATACTGCCAGTCACGTCACAGAGAAGGGCCTGGGAGAGGGCAATTCTGGGGACCTGGAGGCTGGGCTGCTGGCTCCAGCTCTGAAGTTCCTACCTTCCCTGCGGAGCAAGATGGAGAAGGGGCCTGTGGTCCAGCAGCTGGGGTGGAAATAAGAAAAGTAAGGGGTGTGGAACTGCCCCTGTGCACCTCAGATTTCCTGTGACAGGTTCATGGAGGAGTAATTTCCTTTTTTTTTTTTTTTTTTTTGAGACAGAGACTCTGTCCCCCAGAGTCTGGAGTGCAGTGGTACGGTCTAGGCCTGCCTCCTGAGTTCAAGCAATTCTCTGCCTCAGCCTCCTAAGTAGCTGGGACCACAGGCGTGCACCACCATGCCTGGGGGCTAATTTTTATATTGTTTGTAGAGACAGGATTTCACCACGTTGGCCAGGCTGGTCTCCAACTCCTAGCCTCAAGTGATCTGCCCGCCTCGGCCTCCCAAAGTGCTGGGATTATAGGCATGAGCCTCGGGGCCAGCCTCAGGGAGAAGTAATTGATATTTCTATTTCAAAGTGGAAGGTGGGCCGGGCACCGTGGCTCACGCCTGTAATCCCAGCACTTTGGGAGGCTGAGGCCGGCGGATCACTTGAGGTCAAGAGTTGGAGACCAGGCCGGGCGCGGTGGCTCAAGCCTGTAATCCCAGCACTTTGGGAGGCCGAGACGGGTGGATCACGAGGTCAGGAGATCGAGACCATCCTGGCTAACATGGTGAAACCCCGTCTCTACTAAAAACTACAAAAAACTAGCCGGGCGATGTGGCGGGCGCCTGTAGTCCCAGCTACTCGGGAGGCTGAGGCAGGAGAATGGCGTGAACCCGGGAGGCGGAGCTTGCAGTGAGCTGAGATCCGGCCACTGCACTCCAGCCTGGGCGACAGAGCAAGACTCCGTCTCAAAAAAAAAAAAAAAAAAAAAAAAGAGTTGGAGACCAGCCTGGCCAACATGGTGAAACCTCGTCTCTACCAAAAATACAATAATTAGCCAGGCATGGTGGCGCGCCTGTAGCCCCAACTACTCGGGGGGAGAATCGCTTGAACCCGGGAGGCAGAGGTTGCTGTGGGCCAAGGGTCGCCACTGCACTCCAGCCTAGGCGACAGAGTGAGACTCCATCTCAAAAATAAATAAATAAAAATAAAGTGGAAGGTGGAGAGATGCTTTCTAGGCTATAGGTTCAGGCAGAGAATGTTAGGGAGGGAGGGAAGGAGAGAAGGAGCGGGAAGCCAGGGACAACTGCTTGCCTGGACCAACATCCCCTGTCCCCGCACCTCCCTTCTCCTATGGAAACTTAAGCTGCCGCAGGGCCCAGAGGAGCTAGTCCATTAGCTGTGGTCAGCAGGGGAGTGTAGGTGGGGAGGGCCCTCTCTCCCTCCAGGTCTTCTTGCCAAATGAAAGGCAAAGCGTTTGCTCCCTCTACTAGAGTCAAAAAAACAAAACAAAACAAAACCATAAAAACCTCCACACACATTTTTAACACACACACATAACCTCTTTCTCTCCTCTGAATGGTCGAAGCTGAGCAACTTGGGGATGGGTGGGTGGTAGGGGCTCCGTGATCCACTACTACAGAGGGAATGGGGGAGGAGGTGCCTTCCCAAAGCACTTTCCAGGTTAAATCCAGCCTCGGGAGGAGCCGGGAGTGGAGAGAGAATTTACTCTCCCCCAACTTAGCTCCCTCAGAAATGGGGGCAAGTGGAGGGTCAGCTGAGCAGAGAGGAACAATCTCCCGAGATCCCAGGGATGGGAGCATTGAGGGGAGGGGTCCCGAGAACTCCCAGGGGATGTGGGTTAAAAGAAGGGCCGGGAAGAAGGGTGGGACGCCCTCCACTGGAAAGGGGAGAGAGTTCTAGTTAATGCTGAGGGGAAGTTGGGGACCTGGGTCAGCGTGTGTCTGTCTCCATGAAGGGGGTCCGTCTCTCCCCGCCCCAGGTGCCGTCTTTGGTCTGGAAAAGGGTCCAGCATGGGGGCGTTGGGGATGTGAAGGGACCAATGAGCGGTCTGTCCGCTCAGAAGGGTCCAGAGAGAGAGCCAACTGGGACTACACCCCCGCTCCCCCTTCCCCCGCCAGAACTTGGGCTTGTCCTGTTTGACGCACCCGCAGAAAGGGGCGGGAGGGGTACTGACCCGAGGAGCGGTCCCGCGACTCTGTACTCCCTGCTGCCCAGTCCCGGCCAGGACGCTGCCCGGCTTAGTTGGGGAGCCCCTCGACACCAGGATGGAGGTAGGGACGGGCTAGGGTCCCGGAGGGGCACGGGTGCCTCGAAGGTGCCCTACGGGGTGGGGATAAGTAGAAGGCAGCCTGGGGTCTCCTACTGGGGGTCTCGAGATGGGACTGCAGTTCCTGTTGAAAGGAGGGGAAGAGGG